CTGTTTTTTATTTCGTGGCTTTAGTTTGAAAAGGTTTTACTATAATACTGCATTTACTGTAATTTTGAGATACAGATCTTCAAAGTTATAATTTACTGTAGTATGAACATTTTACTACTTAGACAAACATTTTTGTTTTTATAATACTTTGAAGCTGTGAACTCGATTTTGGAATCGTCGATGATTTAATTGTGCCACTTATTATTAATGTAATTTTCGATATTAAAATTCTGCAGTTAGAACTTTGACATTCAAGTATGCATTATCGTGGTGAGACAAGGATTTAATTGCAGATAGCAGCACCCTAAAATTTGAGGTTTTACGTTTTGTAAAGGGCAACAAGAATCGAAAAGATGAATCGAATAAAAATATTTCGTACTATATTTTTTTTTTAACAAATTGATTTATTATATACTTTATCCCTTTCATTTATTATTGTTATATCATTGCCTAAGTAGTTATAATTGAAGAAAAAAATACGTGAATCAGAGTCAAATTTTCAACAAAAAAATGTTATCTTTTAATTAGAGTAAGAAAACATAATCTCGTGAATTTATAATAAACTTACACCAACGAAAAGTAAAAAAACAACAACAAGTAATCACTTTACTCACTTAAGTGAGTTATAAGAATCATCAAGAATAAGAATGTTCCATATTTTTTTTTCGGCAATCCTAATAATAAATCGTGAAAATATTTTATTGCTCCAATGGAATTCAACTGATAAACGATATTAAAACAGGCTAAGATATTTGTTACATAGTTTTTTTTTATTTAACGCGTATGCTCTTGACTGTTATGCCATTCGTCTTCTGGCAGCCAAATTTCCACGATTCTGATCCTGTAGAAATTAAAAATCCTAACAACAGCAGATGTTTCATTATAATCCCATATAGTGGCTGGGGCATTAAGATAACCATGTAAACGTCTAGGGATCCCCACTTAGCTTTAAGCCAAGATAGGACCGGTCTATTTATTGAGGGGTTTATACATTACATAAAACCGGATACGGATCTACTTTTTACACATATCCAACTGTACAGCATGTTCCATTGTAGTAATATTTTTCCATTCAGTAAATTTTTCTACAATTCAGATCCACCAGAGTTCCAGAACATAGCCTAAAGCTGTGTGTTGATTGGGCCTTGAAAACTGTCGTTTATGTTTTTATCGATTCTGTCTTATTGAACTATTTTCTTGGCAACATTGTTCTTTTAGTTTTAACCAGAGGATATGTGTACAGAGTATGGACGCGTTCAAAGTTATCTATTTTTTTAAAAAGTTTGGTTAGCTTAAACACAGGTGGGGCTTTCGGGCTGAAGCTCTCTCCCCTCCACCCCAAAATGTAATTATATCTACACTTATATCAAGAATAGCTTAAACGCCATTTCATATAAGTATAGGATATCATACATAAACTAATTAGAAGATATCTTATTTATTATTTTTGACTAATATATTGTAAGGCAACACATAAACAGTTGCTGATTGAAAATCTTTCGCTATTTCTTTTATTATTAGATAATTATTATAACAGGAGAATGGTATAGAATGGTAATGAGATATCTGTAACATTGCAACCCAACAATGGTCTTGGTTTCAGTAATTTGGAAGGAAGTACTGTTTTTGTTTGTCAAATGTTATGAAGGGAGGCGATTGGCCCAAGATCATGCCCAACCAAGGTTCAGTGTCTCCCCTTATATCCTAGAGGATCTAACGACGCCTGAGTCGATCCACGGCTGATATAACCCAATAAATAATTGCCTTCCACAGCTGGTCTCAACTTGGCGACCAGGAGTAAAAAGACTCACTAACTCAGCCCTGTGTGAACAATGAAATGTTTAAAATTTCAGGAATGTTTATTATTTATATGATAATTCTTATTATAGCATATTTGAATTAAAAAAAATGTAATTGAAAAAAAAAAACTACAGTAAGAATCATAGGGCCTTGAGTGTTCTGTGTAGGAGGCTGTATTCGGTGCTCAGTCATTCAATTTCAAACAAGTTTTACATTTCGGCTGTATTAGGTTTCCAGCTCTAATTTTCAAGGTTCCCTGTGAGGTTTTCTCATACATCGCACTACGGATGTTGAATTCTGAAACTCGATATCATAATAAACAAACTTTATAATTGAAAAAAAAAATTCTACCCCATAGAGGACATATTACATATCTATAAATATAGCAGATATGAGAAGTATCAAATAAAATACACCGACATTCAAAACCACTGAGCGCCATAACTCACTGCACCAATCTCTTTTTTTCACACCATAAATGATAGTAAATTATAATAGTAGCTTTTATTGTTCTTTGTTTTCAACATATCGATTAATTAGATATTTTTGTTGTACTTATATTTATAGTTGCTAAATATTTTTTAATAATAAATAAGGTCATGATAAATCATCCGAATCCCCTTGCACAATCCCTATCTAGTTCTACTCATTCCTACAATCCTCCTCGAAGGTTGAAGCGACAGTTGCTCAGAGAACTTCTATAGTATATATCTTGGAGTAATGGTAATGGACAGATTCTCCATTCATAACATGAGTGGCTAAAGAGCTCTTGCTCAATTTCCACTGGCTTTAGCACCAGTGACGCGGTTGAGAGAGTACCGCAGGGATCCCTTGGAGTCCTGCTTTTCTCTCCATGGTTGGAGGGAATTCTCTGTCTGATTTTATATATTTTATATAGGTATGGCTTTGCTTTTATGTTTTTAATTTACTTATCATTATGTTACTTTTTATTTTTTATTGTTTATTATTTAGTTACACATTTATTGATTATTATTTTACTTTTGTTAATTCATTGTTCTCTGTATACTTGGTGTGAATATGTTCATATCTCCCTATCATTATTGTCCACGTGACAGATTAATATGTTTCTAGTTAAATAAATGAAAATATTGGGAACTATTTAGTCCCTATAATGGAGTTAGTTGGTGGAGCACCTGCTGCAGTAGTACTAGCCAATACTACTTTCCTTTCCGCTACAGCCCGAAGGAACAAGACCTGAGCTGAACAACTTGGAAACCGTTGACTTATAAAGTATTGCTGCGCTGAACGGCGGAAGATGGAGTCATCAGAGTACTAACTACAAATGATTTGTAAGGCTTTCCCCGAGCCAGTGAGGTAGCTCTCCATTTTCTCTTGTTACCAGATGGATAGTGACATGATTCGCAGTAAGATCGCACCAATAACCACTTTCCATTTCTTACAGTCTCCGGCTGATCCCGTAACAAATCATTCATAACTCTGACTTAGCTTCTTCCATACTTTCTTTGGAACAAGAAATAATAATAGCAATAAACTATTCTACAAAGAAATACTAATCTAATATAGTCAATATTTACACCAAGATGAAACGATTTGATGATTCAATAGCGGACCGTTCCAGAATGCCACCTTTTTTTTTTACCAATGGATTGAAAGGTTGGATTTGTTCTTGCAAAAGTAAGAGTGGTTAGTTATGATGTGTTGCTACTTGAAATAATTTGTATATTTTATTGTTCTCGATTAAACTTCACTTGGAATACAAAAAAGTTTGGAAAGTCATTAAGTCCCATCAAATTAACGTTATTGCTCCAAGGGGACTAAAGAAAATACACAAGAGAGTTGCTTTATATCGGTTATGATTCGGACAATTTGCACTATGGCAATCTGTCCGAAGGCAACTACATATGAAACCCAAGGATATCGAATATATTTTCGTAGTATCGCAATAATATTCCATTAAAACAGTCAAACTTTAATTTTCCACATCCTTAAAGGTCATGTTAATATAGGATGAAAAATACACATGCACTACTTTTTCATTTTCCATAAAAAGATAAAATATTTTGTTAAATATAATATTTGAAAATAAATATACTCCTTATTAATATGAGTGAATCAATGCTAGAGTAGTTACTCTTTTAGTGCCTCAACAACATAATATTCAGGAGTGATCGATCTCCGGAATATACGAATAATAATACACAGTGCCGGCCTTAGACACCCTGCCTCCCACGGGAAATGACGTCATTTCTCCCCTCCCATGAATAATATTAATTTATTTCTCAAGCTGTTTTATATTATGTAATATTTGAATTTTATTATTATATTTTATTCAATGCTCTCTAATACAGTTGCTTTATTAATAGGCTAAACTTAATTATTTTAATACGTTTTGTAAATATTTAATTTTTTTAAAAGCTCCCTCTCGAACGCCCCTCTAGTTCGAACCTGATACCTGTACTGAAAATACAAGTTAGGTTAGATTATAGATAAAAGATTCAACACACATAGATTGATTCTATAAAATACCGACTATTCAGAAATCACCAGAAAATGCAGCTCATCTTACATCCATAATCTTAAAAGACATAACTAGAGGTCTCTATTTAGTACTCGTACAAAAAATATCTCTAACTTGGAACAAGATTGGCAGAGCGCAAAAATAAAATATTTTCAACTTTAACATACAATCATGTTCTTAATCACATCAATAATATAAAAATATAAAATCGTTGATTTATTTGTTGTCTCTTTATTCTAGTATAGATATAATATATAATCGCAAAGAAAACAATCTGTTAAATGTTTAGTTTTGATTTTGACCTTCTTCCATGATTCTAAGATAGCGATATAAACAAGCACTGAAAAAAAAAAAAAAAAAAACGAAAGGAAGGTAATATAACAACCAGCTATGTTACGGTAAGTAAGGTTTCTATTTTACTTCAGTTTGTGTTTCGATGACTTGGTATTCGAATTTGTATCTGTAGTTGAAGTAACTTTTTATAATGTGGATGTGCTGCATTTTGTGTGAATATCCTGTTTTCCACTCTTCATGGTGCCTGTATTGACGAAATGTTGACTGATAAGCCGTTTCCGATATTTTATAGATTTAAAGCTTTGTATGTGATACAAATCTTTAATTTCAACCATAACAATTAATGTTTCTTCCGCTTAAATTCTTCTTTTTTCATATTAATGATTACTCAATAGAAGAAACCTATCATCCAATGCACTTCCTCTCTAATTCAATCTTATTATTTAGAATGAATGTACACAGTTGACTTTTGTGGAACTCCATTTGTTTAATCTATAATATTAAATTTGTCTTTAAACTATTTACAAATTCACTTTTTTAGTTTTTAAGTGAACGTTATCAGAACCAAAAGGCCCGCAAATAAATGTATTTATCCATGTATTCACTTTATTGTATATGCACTTGTTTGGTAGCGAGACATACCCCTAGAAGGCGTGCCACTTAATTGCTTGTCTGCCTTATTTTCCATATTCTTTAGCTGGTTAGGCGTCAAAACAAACCAATCATCGATCCATACGAACATGCAGCGATGGAAGCTAGTGAAGAGCTTCCTTTCCGTCTTCATTATGAAGCTCTCGATCGTGCGCTGGAGCCCAAACCACTTGAACTTGACCTGGACAAGCTTGTAGCAGGTCATGATGGGCTCCGCGGTCTGTATCCAGTCCGTTGCCAATGGGCCTCGGTTCACCTCCGCGGAAGTGAACTGAGATGGCTCCGGGGTATCCCTCTTCCAGGCGTTAGACAATGTATCCTTTGCAATATCTATTTGGACTACTTTACGCGTGTCCAGTAAGTCTTGGCTCAGTTCATGCGCGTTTTCTTGTTCCGGTTTCCCCTCGCAGTAAATTGTGTCAATCTTTATGAAAAAATCTTCTTTCATTTTGTCATTGGTAAGGATGGTTCTGGTATATGGAAAAGAGTTCCAGCTTTCTTCGGTGAGCTGCATGGCACTCTTTGGAGCCAGAGCTCTAATGAAAAAAGGGAATCTATTAGCAAAGTTGTAAACCTTCTTCGTATAATCTCCCGAAGAGTATCCCTCAGGCATATCAGCGTTGTCCGAGAACGGTTCGTTCTTTAATACTTCAACACCTTCTTCATTTGACGACTCCAATAAAGAAGTTTGAATTGTAGTGTACATCTGGCCTCTTTGGTACTCGTCCAAAGTAAAAGGCATCGGAATACGGAACTCGGTTATCAGCATCTTAATCCACTTTGGAGACATCCTTCACATTATTGTCATCAAACTTTTGGATTAGTATTATTGAACATTAGGGTTGTTTTCTTACCGTACATAGACACTTGTGGAGCGTATGTGACGAGGGAACTGTTTTCATAATCCAATTCTTTGAATAAGATATACAATAAATTAAACACTAACAGATATTCAGAATAACCTCTGACAAAAGTGCAGGTTATGATAGATCTTTGACCATGTGGCATATTATAGGATTGTATAACTTTTGTTACGAATAATAATCTTGAATGTAATCTCAATCGTGTTAGGCGTAGTACGGAGATATGGATTCATTATACGAGTGACATATTTACAGAATTTTAATAAAAGGTTGTAACAAACTACGTGTTGTATTAACTGTATTATAAACGACTAGCCATGGATAATTTCGAATTATTTATCAGAAGAAACGTTATGAGAATGGCATGTGGTATGATCAAGAAAAGTGAGTAAATGGACTTTTGTCCATTCATAAGCGTCAATAATGAGCAAAAGTTAACATTGAAGATATTTAATATCTTGAAGTTATAATTTACAAATTATAGTTACAAACATTATTTTAATTAGCTATTAAATTTATTAATTATTATTATTTTGTAAGTTTTATTTTGCCAGCGCGAGTTGGTTTCCTAAAGATACTATTGCCAAAACTTAAATGAAACATAAGAACATGTGGCTATAATTGAATAAAGATATAAAAATTAATAAAATAAAGAGTTTGACCTTACTTCACCCTGTTTTTACTTGCTTATTTTATTTCGTTTTAGAATTTACATCAGCTAAAGTCCTTATCTTTATTTATATATATTACAAGGGAAGATTAATGACGTGGATTCTCGAATATCAACTTTGTTTCAGTAGGTCAAATTTATTCCCATACAATAGCTATCTGCGAAATATAATATTTTTCTAAATCGGTCGTGTATCCAAAGTAAAGAATTTATTAGAAATTCTTAAAAGTAAAAAAAGTTCGCAACCCGAAAAACTACAACATACGAATTTCCGTAGTAACCGAAACATTGATTGATGTGCCTAGGCGAAATTTTGTCGCCAAATAAAAAAAAATGGGATAACTTCTGAACGGCCCCACCGAATCGCTCGAAAATTATCAGGGACTTAGATTATAAAGCTCTGTATGTTACACAAAATTGTTTAACGCTACCTCCGTAAAAACATTATAACCATAGATATAAAAAATAAGTTTTTTGAATTATTAGCTTAAAAAGGAATGAATTCCGAAACCTATTGATGTTGTTTTGAAGAGCGACAATTTAGCTTTCCAACGGTTGTACTCAGTGCCGATTTTAGGGTGGATCAACCAGGGCAATCCATCCGGGGCGCCGACTGGAGGGGCGCCTGTTAGGGGCGCCGGCCGATCTTCAGGGGCGCTTGTCACTTGTCAGAGATTATAACAAAATAAAAATATTTTGTATATTAAAATAATTAATTTTAGTCCATCAATAAAATAACTGTACTAGTGCAATACTGACCGGAATAAGATTCAAATATTATTACTTAATTTAAAACAATTTAAGATCTTAATTTATTTTTTGGGAGGGAGGGCTGACGTTATCGGCGAACCTAGTGCGCCGAATATCTAAGGCCGGAACTGGTTGTACTAACATTGAATTTGAATAAAATCTTGCAAAAATTCTGCATGATATACTTGAGAACCGGAAAAAAACAAGGCCCTAGAACATCAATCAATTACTAAAATTTGCAATTTTTGATATCTTTAAAAATCCGTATTAATGAGTTTTAAAGAAGAGTAAAAATAATGTAACTTTCTCTTTCACTTACATGGCCTACTTTACCGAAAGCCACTTGGAATTTGTGTTATTAACAAACTTAATACTATAATCAACATTGTTGTCTTATTCTTTACAAAAAAAGTAATCGATTGGTACATATCTAGTTCTGTTATAAATATTGTTACAAGGAAATATATACATATACTCGAAACCCTTTTTTCCCTGACACAGGCATTTAATCTCCATGGCCAGTCATCAATAGCATCACGCAGCACTCATTGAGGAAAGCGCTCAACTACTCGGACCAAAGATTGTTTGAGGCAATTCAAGTTAGTGTATGCTCTATGGCATGCTTTCTCTCCAGTTCGAGCTAAAGTCAATAAACTAGTGGGTTTAAGATCAGGGCTTCCTGAGGGCCAATCCGAGGCAGAGATGAACTCTGGAATGTTCTTTTGCACCACTGGTGAGTTGACATCTTGCAAGGAGAGTGGGATGGAGTGATGGATCGGAATAATGCGTTAAAGGATGCGGGGAGGTTATTGAAGAACTTGATATGTCTTTTTGATATGTGTTGCTCAACAGAGTCGAATTGTAGGGGGTGGGGTGGCCGAGTCGAGCTGTAGTTCGTTAAGAATATGTTTCATGTTTCGTCTTTCTAGTGTTGTCCCTTTGCAAATCATCATGAGTATACTGTTCTGGTATTGTTGTAGTTTCTTCAGGTCTGTGGAATATAAGTAGTGTAAGAGGAGTGCGCCATGGAGAAGTAAGAGTCTGATTATGGCTTTTATATGGAGTAATGGAGTCTAAGTGACAGTCCTGGTGAATAGAGTAGGTGACAGAATTGCTACGAACAGCTAAAAACGTAGCATATGCTTATTAAGTATTTGTTAGTTGTAAGAATTCTTCATGATATACAGATTTGAAAATGCGAATCTAATAACTATAATCAAATAACTAAATAAATTTATTTTAATTGCAGTCTGGTGGAGTATATGATTCAACCCAAGAACTGTTCTGAAATGTCAGAAGACAGCCGGAGTGTCCTTGCTTTTTGACACCTCCATTGTTCTGTATATACACGCGTTCGACCAGGTTCCGAAACCTTTCGATAAAGTTAACCTTTTAGTTAAAGGTGCCTTGGTATCAAAAGGGGGTATTAGGAGAAACTGGAGCAGGATTCTAGGACGTGAAGGGACCTCAAGTAATAATGACCGATAATAATATATTGCGTTTACGGGAATAATTGTAGTTCAACTAATCTGGAGGATTGCATCGTTTACTTCAAATTTTCTAAAATCAAACATGATATATAATGATCAGTGAGCGGATTTCTAGTGAAAGTCTTTCTGATAATGAAGCTATTTATCTTCAACTTGGTTATTATGAATCAAACTATCAATATTTTTAAGAAATGCAATAAAATCATTATATGTTATTTCTCGAAGGCAATTGTTTACCGGTAAGCCATATCGTTAATTCTTCGTCGTCCATTTTTAAAAAAAAAATTCTCGTCCAGATAGGAGAAGTATCTACGTTAGAGGTACAACAAATTTCACGTAAAACGTTATGAAGAAAAATCAACTTTATTTGCTAATAACTCCAAAAGTATTCATTTTATGGTTAATTTTATAAAAAGGTTACTAAATTACTAAATATCTACAAACAAAAATGTCCAAAATTGAATTATCGGTACAATTAGATTTTCTTTGTATATTCCATTATTGTTTCTTCTCAAAAATTTTATTTTTAGTTAGTATTCGTTATAAGAGCTCTATTAGACAGTTTAAGTACCCTTTAAAATAACATCTACTATAATCCATGTATGTAGATGGACTATGTATAAATTTTGATTATTTGAATAGCATTTTATATATTTTTTTTTTTGAAATTTATTAAATACCTACGTTAAGATTTTTTATATTATTGAAAAAAAATTTTTTTAAAGCACTATTAAATATTTGGAGAGTCCGGTATCTCGGCTTTCTCTTAGACAGAAGACTAACGTGGGACCCACATACTAGACTCAAAAGACAGGAACTTAACCGACAATACGGCCAACTATACAGACTACTAAATGGAAAATCTAAACTTTCTATTGAAAATAAAATACTTATCTACAAGACAATACTGAAACCTATTTATACTTACGGACTTGAACTGTGAGGAACAGCAAAGTTTTCTAGCATGAAACGCATCCAATCCTTCCAGTCCAAAGTCCTTGGAACAATAGTCGGTGCTCTTTTCTATATAACCAACAAAACTCTAAACCATGACCTTAATATCCCATTTGCCCTAGACCTTATCCCAGCAAAATTCTCCAAATTTCACCAGAACCTTAACTATCATCCGAATCCCTTTGCACAATCCCTATCCAACACCACCATTCCTATAATCTTCCAAAAAAGTTAAAACGGCAGTGGTCCCGCGACCTTTTATAGTTTTTAAATATTGGTGTTCTGGCAATGGCCAGATTCTCCACTCATAACATGAGTGTATGTGGCTAAAGCACTCTCGCTCAACCTCTACTAGGTCTAGCCCCAGTGAGTGGTTGAGAGAGAAGTGCAGGGATCTCCTGGAGTCATGCTTTTCCCTCCACAGTTGTAGGAACAAGTCTGGCTAGGAGATCTCTCACCTGATTGTAAATAGTGTGTACAGGCATTGTGTTATTATATTCTTATTTATTGTATATATATTATTTTTCTGTATATTTATTGTACATTGAGTTTGAATGTGATCTTTGAACACTATTTTAAATATCCTTTGAGGCTGATTGTTATATTTATCAATAAACAATTTAAAAAAAAAATTAAATACTTGAAAATGTCTTGAAAGCACTAACAGCTACTTTGTGAATGTGAGAAGTTAACTATTTCCTATTGTGATGGTTGTAGACGGGGTTCTGGCTTTCAAGGGGCAAGGTCTCGCTCCTTCCTCCAGTGTGGCGTAATTCAACACTCTCCGCTAGGTTACACGCCTGTCCGTCAACTGGTGAGACAGACCGATAAAGGTCCAGCGTTTCAATTTCCACTTTAACATCTATTATCATTTATGTTTAGTTTATCTTAAGGTTAATGTAACTATATTGCAGAATTTGTAAAACTTGGAATCTCAAAGCAAACGGATAGAGCAATATTTAATCCGTTCTTTAAAAAGGTTCGCCTCTATTGGAATCTGTTTGGAAAGAAGGTGATAAATCTAAATAGGTTGAGAAGTAATCATGGCAATACTAATAAATGCTTAAACTTGAAAAAATTGATGGCGACAGCAACTTGTAAATTATGTGACGAAGTCGAGGATCCACGGCATTTAACGATATTCTGTAAGCGTTTTACCAACGAGAACCAGAAGATGAAATATATCGAAGGATCGGCAATAGATATTTCTAAAAAAATAAAAGAGCAAGATGGAGAAGGACACAACCAACTCAAGCGTCGATTGTAAATAAACGGCCAATTATAACGAAAATGCATTGAAATGATATTAAATTGGTTTTTGATCTATGATGGCTCCAACGGACATAGGTGGATCTACGGTGGATTTCGGGCTTAAAGTACAGTATCTTATGAATATATACAGTATCTTCAGTGAAAGCATATCAAAACAAATAAAAAGTAACACCATTTTGAAAAAAAAAAAAAGATTTAAATGATTTTGTATGATGAGTATTTAAATGAAAAGAAAAACAAAAAACAGGTAAAAAAACCCAAAATAATATAAGCATGCTATTACATAGGCGTACTATATTTTCGGGCCCTTCAAAGCCTAGCGATATTATGAAGTTTC